GCATGGGTCGCAAGACTCAGGACACGAGGATAGGTACCACTGAGTACCACGGTACACTGTACACTGATACCCGATACCCCGATACCCCGATGCCGATATTGTTACGTTACCCTTGATCTGGCAGGGTCGACCTGCTAATCCGGCCGAATCCTTTTCCCCCCGGCTGCTCGGCCTGCGCCCGCCTCAGCCGGACGCGTCCGGCCCGCGGCGAGGCCGGGGCGGCATCCCCGCCGTCTGCCGCCGCCGCAGCGGCGGCCGCCCCGTCGGCCTCCGCCGCCTCCCCGTCGTCCAGACAGGCGAGCCAATCCATGGCTGCAGTCGGCAGCAGCAGCAGGCTGAGCAACGGCGGCAGCAGCAACCCGACGCAAATCCAGCCAGGAGACGAACGAGGACGAGACGAGGTTTGGAATCGAATGCCGAAGGAGGCCAGGGAGGAGTAGGAGCAGTAGTAGTAGGTAGGTAGGAGTCGGAGGAATGGGAGGAGGTAGAAATGTAGAATAGGTTGGGACTCGGACGGTGGATGTTGAATACAATACGCCATCGGCCTGCTCCGAAAAAAACATCGAATCCCGCGAGCAAGGGGAAGAGACCCCGCGCGAGCCAGTAGGCACCTGGCCAGCGCCAAGCGCAACCTGGAGTCACCCCTCCCCCGCGCAGGCAGGGAGGGGCCGAATCCAGGGGCGGCTGCACGAGGAGCCCCCTCCCCCGAAGTGAGGGAAGAAAAGGAAGAATAGGAGGAGGACGAGGATGAGGAAGGATATGGGACCACATCCCCTCTCTTTCCCTTCGTGGACGAAACGTCCACGAACTAGACTAAGTAACTATGATGACCATGGGCCAAGCCATGACTATGATGACTACGATTATGAGTCATATGTCATATTATAATGTTAATTCACATGAGGGTATGGAGAACGACCCTTTCTCCCCGACCCTACGTGCGTCAACACTTAGGGTCGGGGGGAAAGGGCAATGGCTGCGGCATTGGCCTATGACCACGCCTCCCGCTTCTCGTCCTTTTCTTCCTCCTGTTTCCCCAGTCTCCCTCCTCGTGCTCCTCCTCCTCCTCCACCTCCTCCTCCTCCTTCTCCGCCTCCTCCTCGACTCGTTCCGTTCCTCGTCTTCTCCTCCCCCACCTCCTCGTCTTTTCTCTTGAATCTTGACTCATATGACTCATGATGACTCTTCCCTCTCCTGACTCTCGCCCCTCCTCCGCCTCCCTTTCGTTCTCCCCCCTCTCCCTCATGGATTTGCGCCGGGTTCGCATGGCAGCGGCGGCTCGGCAGCACGGGTCGGGGAAGACGGCGACCGACGCAGCCCCGCGCGCCCGTCCAGCGACGACGGCGCCAGAGAGCTCAACGCAGGCCGGCCGACTCGACGCAACGCCCGACGCCCGACGCCCCGCTCGACGCAACGCCGACGCTTCACCCGACGACCCGCTCGACGCCCCGCCCGACGCCCGAACCCCGTCAGACGCGACCCGACCCGACTCGCGCCCCAACTCCGAGTCGAACGTCGAACGTCACGCACCGTGGCACGATGACTAACGACGACGAGGACGACGCCGACAAGGGGCCCGAGGCCCGAGTAAAGGTTGCGAGGCACGAGACCGTCGCCACCGAACGACGCCCAGAGGGAGGAGGAGGAGGAGGAGGAGGAAAAGGAGGAGGAAAAGGAGGGGGTAGAGGCATCCACGAGGCCCAAATGAGCGCCAAGACGGGGAGAGGAGGAAGGAGAAGGGAAGAGAGTAGGAAGAGGACAGAAGTCGAGAAAAACAACGAATCCCAGGGGTAATAAATTTGCGTGAGCCATAATAAAGACAGACAAAACAAGGATAATGAGGAGGGGTGGAGAAGATGGAGGGGCGGACGAGAAAGAGGGGGATGGGGGATGGGGAGGATTTGGACAACGTGGCGTATCTGACGTATCAAATAATCACACGATTGAATGAATAATATAAAAACCGCGTGGTCTTCCATGCGTGATGTTAGAGTGGTGCGTACATTCAATTCGCCCCCCCGTCCCAAAATCATAGGCATGCATTAAGGAAACACGAAATTGTCCTGGGCGGGGATTTCTGTTTCTGTACGTCCTAGCCAGGCACCCAGATAATCAGGGTTCTAGAAGGCACCCCCATTAGGTGCAAGCGGCGCATGACAAGGTATACGGTTCGGAGGTCCCTGAGAGCGGCCTCCCCGAGGACACCACCTGGGATGGCAAGAGGTGGGCCGCGGCCAGGGTGGTAGGGCACCTGCTGCGCAACCCCAGGCACAAGGACGCGTGGACAGCCCATCACCAAAGCGTGGCATCCAACAAGGGGCCGAGCCCCTTCCGCCTCGACCTCACTGTCCTCGCCAGCTTCATCGCAAGCCTGGGCTCTCAGGTGCCCTCGCAGCCGCCTCCATCACCACCCTGGCAGAGCAGGACCCCTCGGCTGCCTACACGGACGAGGCTCGTGCGGCCCCTCCAGGGGCAACCGCGACGGCCTGGCTGCAGCCGAAACCAGAGGGGGGCAGCGACTTTGGCGGGCGAGGCCACCACGGCCACCGGTGCCCCAACCAGCGGCGTGGCCGGCAGGGAGGACGGACCTCCCGCTCCGCGGGCAGCTGACGGCCCCCCGACGTCAGGCCTCGCGAGGCGACAGAGAGGCCCCCCCCCCCCGAGGAGGAGGATAGCCCTGTTGCCCAACGAGCCCCCCGCGCCCTCCGTGAAGGCGGACAGCGACGGGATCGACGTGCGGTGAGGGCGGGGGCGACGGCGCCCCCCCCTCCGCCTCGCCGCCCCCCCTGGCGGAGCAGCGGACAGCTCGGGGTGGAGCCCCCGAAGACAGCGCGCCCCCGCCCTCGCCCCGAGTGGACAGGGCGAAACAACCAGCGGGAGCCCTCCCGACGATCCCCTCCTCCTCGTCCTCCCTCCTCCTCCTCCTCCTCCTTCTCCTCCTCCTCCTACTCCTCCTCCTCCTCCTCCTCCACCTCCTCCTTGGACCGTGCGGGCAGGGCACACACGTTTCGAGCCGACCCGAGCAAGGCCGAGCAACGGGCAAGGCTAGCGCCGGTCCGCCGCCCATGCAGGGTGAGACACGACCCCCCTGCGCAGACAAGCCTCCCCAGCTCGCACGCCGGGGAGCAGCAGCTCACCAGCCGCAGCACCCGCCGACCGCTCACCAACTCCCCCGTGGCGACGCGGCCGTAAGACGGGTCTTCGACGGCCTGGTCGACCCATGTGATTGTGGCCGCATGTACAAGGAGTTGATAGGCAACGTCGACCTCGACAGGACAGGAGAGGCACCATCAGCCAAGATCTCCCGTGTCCTTGTCGATCCGATTGGTCCGATTCGATATCGATTCCGGTTGGCTCGATCCGGTTCGATTACGTTGGTCCGACGATTTGTTGCAGCACGAGCGTTTGCACGACCTCGTCGCGACTTCTGACGCGGCCGATTCGATTCGATTTCCATTCCGTGCCGATGCATCCCAAGCCGACGTATTGTTCGATGTGTTCTGCTGTCTGGATTCGATGTTGATTGATCATGGCAAGAGGACAGTGGGGAGAGAGTGAAGGAACAAGTCCAGACCTATACCACACAGATTTGTTTGTTCACGCACATCTCAGAGTGAGGGGGCCGAGCGGTCATTCATTGTCCCTGGGTGCGTGTCTGAAGTGAGAATCGGCGGTGAGGATTCTGCTTGTTGCGTTGTTGAGCTTTCATTTTTGAAGAATCAGTATTGTTGACCCCTCCTCACCAGTGCATATTGTTTTTCTCAGTCAAAATGTGCCCCTAGACGCTCGCACCCTTGTTTTTGACAGGGAAAATCTTCCTGGTCAAACTGTGCCCCTGGCCCCCCGGACTACAACAACAACGGTTCCCGCTTGAGACTTCCTCCCGCCTGAGACTCCCTCCCAATTTACTCAGGAATGGCGCTCTCGCTTGAGACTTCCTCACATTTTAGTCCGGGTCAAACTGCGTTGTTGCTCCCCCGGACTACAACAACGGCTCCCGCCTGAGCAGTCCTCCAACTTTACTCAGGACCCCCGCTCCCGCCTGAGACTTCCTCCCAATTTACTCAGCATCGGCGCCCCCGCCTGTGACTTCCTCGCAATTTAGTCAGGACCCCCCCTCCCGTCTGAGACTTCCTCACGATTTACTCAAGAATGGCGCTCCCGCTTAAGATTTCCTTGCGCTGTAGGGTCCGTCCACTCCTGTCTTCCCCCGAGGGCGCGCGACCAAACAGTGCACGTCGGGTGTGGCTTCCACCCCGGTCCTTCGGAGCCTCCTCTCTTCGGATACCGTCGCCACCAGCGCCTCCCGAACCCTCCCCAGCCCCTCCCCTCCCCCCTCTCCCGACGTATATGGGACAAGCGGGGCTCTGGGGGATCTCACGCGGACACCCAGCATGTCGCCGCCCTCCTCTTCCTCCCCAAACTCGGCGGCGAGCGAGGGGGGAGGTGGGGGAGTGAGAAGGAAAAGGTTTTCTCAGAAGGCGGCAGGGTATCTCAGAAGGCCGCTGGCCTTCTGAGAAGTGTTCTGTGTCTTCGGGGAAGCCTTAGGCAGCCTATCAGAAGGCCCGAGACCTCCCAAGCTTTCTGAGAATTCCCACCCCTCCCCAACCACCCCCCAGGCTTGCCGCCGACAAACTCGCCTCCCCCTCCTCTCTGCCCTCCCCCCTTCGCATCCATCCTCCACCCTCTCCCCTTTGTCGTCGCCCTGCTCTCCGCCCCGCGCCTGCCCTCCCGCTTCCCCCATTTGTTTTTTTTTGTTCTCTCTCTCTCTCTCTCTCTCCCCCCTCTGGCTCTCCGCCCTTCTCCCCCCTTCCTCGTCTTCCCTCCTCCTCCTCCTCCTCCTCCTCCTCCTCCTCCTCCTCCTCCTCCTCCTCCTCCTCCTCCTCTCCCTCAGAAGAGGCGGCCCGGACCTGCTCTTCCCCGCGCCGGCCGAGTCTGGCGCCGACGCCGTTGGCCGCCGGTTGCCTGCTCCGCCGGCCGGCCGCCGGGGCCGGCGGGAGGTCACCCAGGACGGCCGCTTCTGCTTCTCGGCCCTGACCTTCGACCACAACGCGCCCGCCCCCGACAAGCGCCAGAGGGACCGGGCCTTCTCCCCTTGGCTGGGCCCGGAGGGGCGGGAGGGGCCAGGGCTCCCGGGCGGGGGGCCGAGCAGGCGGGGTCTCGGAGGACCGCGCCGCATCGCCGAGGCGTCGGCGACGCGGCTCGATGTGGAGCCCGGGCGTTTCCACGCGCCGACCTCGCCGAGGCATCGCCGGCATCGGCGACACATCGGCAGTGCGTCGCGATCCTTCGGCCCCAGCTGCTCGGGCTCCATTAGGGAGGCCTCCAGGGAATGGGTGCGATCGAAATGGGTGCGGGAGGAGTGGGTAATGGAGGATGACGATTAATAAATGACCGGGGGTCGTGTTCACGCGGCGGCGCCCGGGATGGCGATTAGGAAAAACCGGCCCGCCCAGCATGCGATGGCGATTAGGAAAAACCGGGGGTCGTGTTCACGTGGCTGCGCCCGGGATGGCGATCGTTCTCTTCCAGTCAGAAAATTATGCAGAAATAGCCGAAACCTAACTTTTTAATTGTTCTCTCCCATTTGTTTTACTAATCGTCATCCCGCATTACAAAGGCCGACCGACAGCAATCCCTGACCAGGCTGAGCAGGACTCGCCGTCGGCGCCGCCCCGGGCGCTGCCCACTGGAGTCCAGAGGCGGCCCGTCCTGCAGCGGCCGCTGGCGGTGGTTGGGCGACGTGCCCAGCCTTCCGCGTCCACTTCGGGCGCTCCAAAGGGAGGGCAGAGGGGGAGGGGAGAGACTCTTGGAGGGAGAGGTGGGATGCTCTCGCAGGTCCGCGCGTATCCCTTGGGTTGGCGCTGGACACCCCCAGCCCCTGACGGCCCCTCTGGCGCTGCCCCTGACATTCTCCGCGCGCCAGCGGAGGGGGTCCAGTGTTTCTTTTGTAGTTGAAGCGTCTGGGAGGCGGAGGAGATCGGGGGAAGCTGTGCGAGGTCGCCCCCCCTCCTCCCTCTCCTCGTACCGTCTGCCTCGGCCGCCCGCTTCCAACTCGTGCATCTGCTGGGATGGCGTGCGTGGGTCACGGGCGCTGATGGTACCCTGCGGTGAAATCCACGATCGTGTCGAAGAGCGCGCCCACCGCATCGTTCGCGGAGGGCTGCGGGACGAAAGCGGCGTGATCGGCACGGAGTCGGGCTTCTCGCGAGCGTCATTTTGGCGGAGGCGAAGAAGGACGGCCAGCGCATGCTTCTGGACTGTCTGGTGACCAAGTCCCTCCACGATAAGGCGACTGCGTCTGGGACTCGCGAGGTACATCAGGCACGTCAGATAAGCTGCCGGCCTGCAAGCAGGTGTCCCCACGGAAATGTCTTACCCCCCGATTGCCCCAGGCGGACCCTTGAAGATCGACGAATCATGTGCCCCAAGATTTCTTTCACGACGTACCAAGCCACCCCCACCCAACCCGAAGGTCCTAGGCCACCCAAATAATCGTGTTAGGGGATCCGTAGCCATTTTGGCTCAAGCTTTTTGCTCGAGGCGCTTCCTCTGTGCCACCCCCGGTTGCCGGGGAGCGCCGAGAGGTCCGGCGCAGAGATGTCCGTCGCCTTCGCCGCGCCCGCTGCCGGCTCCCGCTGGGCGGCTGGCCCGAGGGGCGCCGCGCCGGCCGCGGCGGCGCGACCCGCCCCGGCGCAGCCCAGCGCCGAGGCCGGCGCCGCCGCGTCGCCCTGGCTGCTCGGCTCCGCCGCGGCCCTTGCCGCCGCGGCTGCCGCCAGCGCCGGCAGGAGGCCGGCACGCGGCACGCGGCGCGCGCTGCCGGCGGCGACGGCCGCGGTGGAGGCGCCGCCCGCGGCTGCCGCCGCGGAGGCCCCGGCGCCGCCGCCGCCCTTCGATCCCGCCAAGGCGGTCGGCGTGACGGCGCCCCTGGGCTTCTTCGACCCGCTCGGGTTCTGCAAGGTCGGCGACTACGAGGGCTTCCACAAGCTCCGCAGCTCCGAGCTGAAGCACGGGCGCGTGGCCATGATGGCCGCCTTCGGGACCGCGTTCCAGCACTTCGTGAAGCTCCCCGGCTTCGAGGGCACCCCCGCAGGGCTCGGGGCGCTCACCGACCCCTCCGGCGTGCTCGGTTTCGCCTGCCTCATCCTCCCCATCGCTGCGATTACTGAGACCGTGTACTGGAAGGACGACGACCTGTCCAAGGAGCCGGGCAACTTCGGGGACCCGGGCGACTGGGCGGGTCTCTTCGGCGCCTTCGGCGGCGGCTACAGCGACGAGATCCGGAACAAGGAGATCAACAACGGACGCATGGCCATGTTCTCGGTCGTGGGCATCATAGTGGCGGAGATCGCCACCGGCAAGGACGGCATCCAGCAGTTCGGCCTCTGAGGCTGCCGGGCGGCAGAGGGGCGCCTCGAGGCGCCTCCGAGGCCCTTCGAAGCACGGGGCGCCTCGAGGCGACTCGAGCGCCCTTCAAGGCACAGGGCGCCTCGGGCCCTTCTGGGCGCGCGCCCGCGCGCCTTCCGTCTTCGGGGCCCCTGCGCCCCCCCGTCTCGCCTTTTCCCGCCCCCCGGGGCTTTCCTCGGGCGCAGCCCCTGCGATCCTTGTTCGCAGCAGTCTTGTTCCTTGATTTTCGCAGCCACCGCGCGGCCACCCCCCCCCCCAAAAAAAAAAAAAAAAAAATCGTGTTGGGGAGTGTACGGGCTCCATCGTGTTTCCTCTATGTTTTGGATTGCCGGTGCCTTCGGTGTGGGTCGGGGAGGTTTGGTAGGTAGTCATTCTTACAGCACGATGTCTGATCGTATGTGCCTACCGTATTGGGTAAAGTCGCCATGGTCGGCAAAGTTGTCATGGTGAAGGCGACGCTAGCCAAGGTCCAAGACCATCGTCAAGGCATTCCCCCTGAAGCCCCGGACAGACGAGTTGAGCGCATCCCCTTGCGTGTGACGAGCCCCGCGAGCAGGCTTCGCGTATGCTCCTCCAGTTCCTTCTCGATGTGTGGCGATGTACAGGCGGCCCGGATTAGTAGGTCGACCCTGCTAAATCAAGGGTACTCTTGTGTCCTGTGAATCGCGCGTCGTGTCCTCTGCAGCCCAGGGGCAAGGTATCCTTGCGTCCTGTGGTTTCCGCGGGTGTCGGTGGCTTGGCCTGCGGCGTTCTGGGCGCGTCGCGGCCTCGGCAGGGTACCTTGGCGTCCTGTGGTTTTGAGGGCCATGTTGCGCTCGGAAGAGTATTGTGTCCTGTCGCGTGTCCTGTGCGCAATGTTCTGCCTGTATTGTCTATCGCATTCGCCTCAGGACCTCGATCTGTCAACCAGACTCGAGCCTTGACAGGGGGCTCGATGCCCCGCCTGGAGGGGATGCTTCTCCCCGCTCCGCACGCGTGCTGGGGCGGAGGAGCCGGTTCCGCAGCGTTTTTCGGACCTCCGCGGCCTGGGCGGACATGCAGAGGTTGAGTGCAGGGGGGAGCGAGGGCAGCGTCCCGCTGGACCTTCGAGAAATTCGGTGTGAAGCTTCTTCTGTGTTGATCACGGTATCCACATCGCGCTCCCGGGACGTCCACGTGCCGAGCTCGTCCAGGCCTCCCACCCCGCGGAGCGGAGCGACACGCTGTCCACTCGCAAAGCACGGTGTGCCGCGTCGGCCCGCTTGCACTGCTGCTGCTGCTGCTGCTGCTGCTGCTGCTTCTCTTGCTCTCCCCTCCCCTGAGCTGCTTTCCCCCCTAGCCGCGGGTCGACCTCCTCGTGCTTGTGAGGAGAAGTGTCGCTGGGGCCACCGCCTCGACACGCTGTCAATCCGCGGCCCCGCAGGTGTGGCTCCGCGCCCCGGGTCCATGTGAAGGGCCAGAGAGGCCGACGTCCAGGAACGCCCGCCGGATTGGGAAAGGCATCCGATGGGATCTCCGGGTCGACGCGCTATCCAGGAGCTCCCAAGCCGCAGCCCTTCCACGGGCGCACGCAGACGTACACACCGCGGCGGCCGCCTCTCCCTCTGGGGACCCGAACCTTCCATGATGCCAGAAAATAGCCTCCCACACCGATCTAGGCCAATATCTGGACCGGCTAAATCCTCCTCGGCGGGCGCCTCGACGCCGAGGCCCTGGTGCTATCTGGTGGCCCTCTGGGGAGGGGGGGGACCTGGCATCGCTCGGACGTGTGCACTTTTTCTCGGCGAGGGCCATCCAGGAGCCTCCTTGCTCATCCGGCGCAAAAGCCACGCACGAGACCGAAGAGAGCACAGGGAGTGGACGTCCGAGCGGTGGCGAGGGGGAGGCAGACCCCCGCCCGGCCACAGGAGGGCGCCAGGAGCAAGGAGCCGGCCCGGGGCAGCACGTCCGGCGGCCAGCAGGCGCGCCCCTCCCCCCCGTGGCCGGCAGGCGGCCGGGGCCCGGGGGGCGGCAGGGCCGGGAGCCCATGTGGCGGCCCCCGCGCGTCGTGAAGCAGGAGGGGAAGAATCACACAGACACGATGAATCGTCGATTCCCAGATCATATATGGGAACATGTGGGAAGTGGGGGGGGGGGCCCAGAAAATATGGGAAAAGATGGGGAATGCTTGTATTCGTGTGTACTTATTTGTGTGTCCCAGGGCTCCCTTCAGTGAAGCAGTCCCGACGGGAGCATGCCTCGCTGTGGCCCGCCTCGGGGGGCCCGCCATCCGGGGCCGCGGGGCCGGCAAGAGACGAGTCGCGGAATGGAAGAGACCTGGCTCCGGGGAAGGGGTCCAGACCTTCTGGGGGGGATCGGCGTGTCGGACGGGGCAGTAGGACGAGGGACCAGTCCGTTCCAGAGCGTTCCAGGACGCTCCCAGAGCGTTCCGGAGCGCTCCGAGAAGGCCGCGGCGCCCGAGATCTCCTCCAGAGCCGCCAGATCTCAGAGATTCTTGATCCATCCCCTATCTTGTTTTCTCCTCGTCATGGTTTCGTCTGACCGCTGTGAAGAGAACACGACGTCGGGAGTCTGGGGTCTCTTGCACCAGCGCTGACGGGCGCCCACGCCGGCCGTCACGGTCTGATCGGGCATCTTCTTTTTTGTTCGCCGTCTTTCTCTCTTTCGCCTTCGTGCCTCAATTCGCCTCCTGTGCGTCCCCCCGCTCGCCTTGACGGGCGCCTGACCGTCTCGCACCGCTCAACGCTCGTACGTGTATGTGTGTACTGCAGAGGTGGGCCCTGGACTTCCCCACGAAGGACCTCCGCGGTCGCCACGAGGGCGAGGGCTAGGGCGAGGAAGACGAAGGGGCTCACAGGGAACGAGGACGGCAAGGAGCAGGAGGAGGAGGAGCCGGTGCCCCGGTGATGCCCCGGTGCTGGAGGCGCCCGCCTCTCGGGCATGGCCAGGACCCAGGCAAGGGGACCCGGTCAGTGGTATGGCCCTGGGGCCCCTCAATTGGCCAGATTCACTAAACCAGATCCGGTTAGTGGAAATGGGGCGGGGGGGCGCCCCCGTTGCAGGTCACTAAACCAGGTTCCACTAAACCCAGTTCTGCCAACGCCCGAGCCTCTCCCGCCACGAGGGAGCGGTCGCGCGCGCGCCGCCAGGGTGCGGCCGACCTCCAGCAGTCGCCGCCGCCCGCGCCAGCCAAGGACGGCGGGGGGGTGGGTGGGGGGGGGGCGGCCACCGTCAGAGGCTGCGATCGCTCAGACGTGAGAGGCGCCCTTCGCCGGAGTGGCCTTTGGCGCGGGCCACTGGGCCCCCCGATCGCCGAGAGCCATGCCACAGAAGCGTCTGGCGCGCTTGTGGTTGGTTTCCCCGCGTCGCCCAAGAAGCCCCGTACCGAAGGTCACTTTTGCGTGTAGCCGATACGACGGGGGTGGGATGGGGAGGAGGCATCGACCCCCCATCGCCTCTAGACTGCCGATGGAGGTGTAAGGTACCTCCACCCCGCCCAGGAAGGTGTGGATTCGCTATCGGGTGCCTATCGCCGATCTATCGGAGGTCGGCTATTGGTACGGGCACGATCCACACGGGTGCAGAAATAATCGGGGGGGGCGGCAGAGAGTAGAGTTCGCCATGGGGGAAACGGCCATGTGAACCATCGGCCATAGGGTATGTTTACAAGGGATTGTGGCCGTGTGACAGGGGTGAGAGCACGACCGTGTGCACCGTAGGGTTCTTCACCAGGAATCTTGCCGTCGGGGCCAGAAATTCCGCAGGCGTTGAGGCAGGAACGCGATTCTGGAATAGATGGTCCGGAAGTCTGAGGCGAAACAGCTGCTGTCAGCACCTGGCCGTTCCCGGGCTCCCCGTCCTCCCTGTTGGGCTCTTCTGTGGCCCTGTTCCCCCATTGAAAAAAAACAGCCTCCAGCGAACGGAGGATCTCTGGGTAACCGTATGGAGCGACCCTTGGCACGTGCCCAATGGACGTTCCCATCGGTTTCTGGAGGTCGTCCAGCCTCGGGGTGCTGTTCGGCAGCTGCGTCTCGTCGAGGGCGTTCCAGGGCTGCCCGAGTCGTCCCGAGCGGCAGCCCGAGACCCGAGGCATGACCCGAAAGCCGGGCAGCGATCGACTGCGCGTCAGGGTCACCCTTCGTCGGGGTGCTCCCGTGTGCGGGCCCAAAGCGGGGGACCTCCCGCCCTGGGCGCGGGCGCGGGGGTGTTGCCCACCCGCGACCCGCGCCACATGTCGCTCTTTGCGTGTAGAGGAGAGGGGGGGGACCGAGGCCGGGCCGCGCGAAGAAGGGAGAGGGGGAGCGGGGAAGGCGGAGGAACGAAGAAACGAACAGGGAGGAGGGCACGGGCTCCGTCCCGATGGCCACGGACGAACAAAGAGAACGAACAAGGAGGAGGAAAACGAGGAGCAGCAGGAGGAGACAAGCTAGGTGCGATCGCGCCGTACCTGAATTCCTTTCCCCCCTCCCGTGCCTTCCGCATTGCGCTGTTTCTTCTTGATCCGCGGACGCGTGTCATAGCCCACCCGGATCTTCACAAGAGTCTTCATTGATTTTTTGCGCTGTCGGGACAGGGAAACTTGTGGGTCCTGCGCGACCTGGAGGACCTCTGTGGCCTGTGGGGCCTGTAAGACCTGCGACGCCTGTGTAACGTGTGGAACGTGTCTGGCCTGTGGGACCCGTGGGACCTGTGGGAACTGTGACACTTGCGGGAACTGTGGGGCCCGTGGCACCGGCGGGACTTGCAGGACCTCGGGGACCTGGGGGATTTGCGCGAGACTTGTGAGGCATGCGTACGACACTTTGAGGAACCGCGGGGCCTGTCGGACTTGTGGGACCGGTGGGGCATGCGAGACCTGCGACACCTGTGGGACCTGCGGAACCTGTTAGACTGGCTGCACGTGTAGAACCTGTGGGACCTCCTGCGTCATGTGTGGGGCCTGTGAAACCAGTGGCACCATTGGGGCCCGCGATACCTGCAGGATCCAGAACAATAGCCGACGTTGGGGCGGGATAGCCATTCTGAGCGACGCGAGCCTAGCACCGATCAGAAAATGAGGACCACGATGCAGCGTGAGCGCCGCTTCAGAAACACAGGGACCAGTCGAATGTAAACTAGACAATGAAAAGCCACCTGTCACAAATTCCCGTTTTTTCCCGAATGGAAAAATGTTTACGGTAAGTGTTTTCGACGGAGGGAGAGAGAAGGCGTGTGACAGCATTTGGCCGCGGAAGCGAAACTGCATGGCAGCTGTGGTGGTGCCATTCTCGGGCCCCGAGGGACCATGTCTGGGGCGCCCGCCTCCGCTCAGCCTTGTCCACTGTTTCAGCGGTACTGCGGCTGGTGCGGCGGGCGGCTGGGCGGCGCGGAGAGTGCGGCGCTGGCCCACGAGGGCGAACTGCTCGAGGTCTGCGACCCGCGCAACCTGCTGGCTCTCCCTCGCCAGCAGGTTTGGCGCTCGAGGTTGACCTCAGGCGAGAAGGCCCTTCGGCTGGAGCAGGCTCGCCACCTGGCAGCTTTACCCGCGGGTCCTCGCTGGGCCTGCCGATGCCGCTGACGGCGGAGACCACGGGCAAGATCAGAGTGAGCGCGGCTGCCGGGGCAGGGCTCGACCTAAACGGTGTTTGGGCGATTTCGTGGGCCGTTTTCGTTTCGACTTCGTTTTGCGTGAAAGGCGGATTGAAGACAACACGAGGGAAAACGAAAACAAAACGAAAACGAAAAACACCGTTTAGGTTCAGCCCTGTGCTGGGGCCCAGGGCCGTGTCCGTGGACGCGGCCGAAGTGCAGGCGGGGCCGCCACGCACGGCGCCCGCCCTGGGCCAGGGCTCGACCGTCGCGTTGGGCTCCCCGCCGCCTCCCGGGCGGAGGCGGTCCGCGCGCCCAGCCGAGCACCGCCGGTGCTGCCGCGAGCCTGCGCAGCCCTGGCGGGCTGGGTCTTGGAGCGAGGCAGCCTGGCCTCCGCGGCGGCCGTGGCGGCGGGCATTCCTCCCCGCCTCCGCGCGGGCGAGCTGTCGGGCCTCTCCGGCGCTGCCGTTCAGACTGGCGGTGGCGGCCGGTGGGGTTCGTCTCGTTGCCTCGGAGAAACGCACCTTGCCAGACAAAGGTGGTCGCGAGAATGTCGCGGCACGCATATATCTCGCGAGCCCTCGGGGCGTCTGTGGCCTGACTCTTCTGTTGAGCTGCCACGCCACTGCCATGCAAGCCCCGACAGACCCCAAATTCACGCACCCAGGGCTCTCGCCAGACAGTATGAGACGAGGTGGTGCACCTCATGAGTGTCTAATGTCAGGGGATGTGTCGAAACTTTATGCTCAGTGGGCGACGGAGCTCGGCTCTCACAGTCAAAGACGGGGCTGCGATCATTGCCGGCATCAAGATTCATTCGGCAACGCGAGAATCAATCAACGACCATGTCGACCATGCTGTCATAATTGATATCTCGTGTTTGAGGGATTCGCGGGTACATGTCAATAGCGTTGGGCGGAGAGAGCTCTGGATGCTGGCGCCCGAAGGTGGTGTTCTCTCTTCGTCGAGGGAGGTGCCACGTCGGCAGGTTGTGTTCTGGTGTAGCGACGTCCTTCTCGCCAGCCTGAGCCCATACCACGCTCGACCAGCACGTTTGAGAGCGCTCCAGGGGTCCCAAAAACGGGTCTAATCCATGTCGCAGTGCATTGGCCAGAAGTGGGACATGAGCCTAGTCAGCAGGCCTCATTCACTAGAGTCGTCACTCGCCCCAATGTGGCCGCGCCCCCCCCCCAGTCCAAATATATGCAAACATTTACCGCGAATGTTTGGGCCCAGGGAGAGAAGGCATGCGACAGCATCTGGCCGCAGAAGCCCAGCTGCATGGCAGCTGTTGAAGCCCACCCGCATACCGCCGTGATTTTCCCTTTCTCATGGTCAGCAAAGTCGCCTGGAATTGGTCGTCGGAGAGAGCTCTGGACCCTGGCGCCCGAGGGTGGTGTTTTTTTTGCGTCGAGGGAGGCGCCAAATCGGCAGGTTGTGTCCTTGTGTGGTGATGCCTTTCTCGCCAGCCTCTTTCGATAGCACGGTCGATCAGCACACTCGAGTGCGCCCCAGGGGTCTCAAAGATGTGTCTAGCCCATGTCAAGACGTGGAAAATGAGACCGAACGTCAGAAGGCCTCATTCACTACAGTTGTCGCTCGCCTCCGCCGGCCAAACACCCCCACGCACACACACACACATACACACACACACGCGCGCACACACACACACACTCACACACACACGTACACGCACATGCACACGCGTATGTATATACATATATGCAGACATAGATACACAACTTATGTATCAATGTATGCATATATGTACGGGAGAGACGTGGACGGATGACTAACATTCTCGGTGCATATCAAGATGACAGAGGAGACTAGTATCCTGATGGTGTAGCTGTGGCTTCTGAGCAGAGAGGGACGAGAGGACAGGTCGGTGGTGGGAGGAGGACGGGGGTGCAGTCGTTGGCGCGGGAGACTGACGAGCGGAGCGGCAATGTATTGGTCCGCCCAGCAGCTGCGAGTGAGACGCTGTGCGGCGTCGTCCCCTTCCGATTCCAGGATTCCCACCCGACGACGTGCTGCAGTCCCAGCGCCTCCCGGGGCCCACCAGGGGCGACGAGCGGCGCTCCTGGCCCCCTGCGGCAGACGTGGAGAGCCATCGGGCCCCTCGACCAGCCCGACGCCCCCCGGCCCTTGAGAGTGACCCCCCCCCCCGCGGAGGGACCCTGCGGCGCCCCCCTTCCCTGCGGGGGGCTCGGGCCCCGTGCCGCCCTGCTCTCCCTGCTCCTCCCCGTGGGTGCCGCCTGCGCGTGCTGCTGCCCAGCCCGTCCGTCCGTCCGTGCGTCCTCCCTCTCGTGCGTGGGCATTGTTGTTCTCCCTCCCCGCCCCCTCGCAGTCGGCGCCGTCGCCCCCGTAGTCGCCGTCCCGTGCCATCCCTCCCCCTTGCTCGTCGTCGGCGCCGCGCTTCCCTCGTGGCCGTCGTTCTGTGCCTTCCTCCTCGTCGTCGCCCTTTCCCCCCTCCTCTCCCCTCACCTCCTTGCTCCTCTCCCTCGTGGTCGAGGAAAGTATCCGCATCCGCGGCTTCGCGGGCTGGGACCCTGGGCCGGGAACCCGCGGATGCGGTGCGTTTTTTTGTTTTGTTTTTTTTGCGGTTGCCCCGTCAGAACGTATCCGTGCGACCGCGCATCCGCGGGATCGCGCCCTTGAATCCAACCCGCGACGGCGCGGATACAAACATGTTCCCCGCTTGTGACTCCGAAAGGTTGCAGTTGTTGGAAGGTCACATTCGGCATCGGCGCGCAAGATACGGCAGGATCGCCCTCAATCTGGCTTGATCCCGTCTCGCTGGGCGTCTTCCCCCGGCAATTTGGCCTAATCGGGCTCAGTGGCCTCTCAATCCAGCTGAGTAGGTAGCCCGCACTCCCGTCCTTCTGAACACCTGCCAGGAATGGCATCCGAGCCTCCTTCTTCCTCGCGGCCCCCCCCCTCGCTGCCCCCCGCCCTTCCCCCCCTCTCGGCCGTCGCCGCCCGCCCCTTACAGGAGCAGCGCGTGGTGACCTACGAGGGCGTCTTCCAGGCCGCCCCCGACCCCGAGGCCTGGCAGGCCCAGGCGGGCCCGCCTGCACGCTCTCACACCCGGGGGCCCCCTCGGCGGGCTCGTCCCGGCGTCCCCGTCGCGCCGGCGCGTCCGAGGCGGCAGCGGAGGCGGCATGGAGCCGGCATGCAGCTTGGACCATTCCGTGGGTCCTTTTGCATGTTCGGGAGGCATTGCCTGTCTAGGAGATGGCGATGTTTTCTTTTACTCCGACGTGGGTTCGACGCGGATCCGACGTAATCTCGACGTGGGTTCGACACGGATTCGACAGGTTCGGCACAGATTCGGCGTATGGATTCGACACGGATCGCGGCGCGACGGGACAGACACGGTCCAGTTCTAGTTAGTTACACAGTGAAGCACAGTTTGAGTTTTCTCGCCGAGCTAATCGAGCTTATGTTTAGTTTACAGTTAGTTGCATTTACTTTTTACATTTCGCTCACACCGAGCTAATCGAGCTATAGTTCACATTTGTTATACATTTACGCTACGAGCTTTCTTGCCGATTGCATTTTCTGAAGCACCATACAAACTTGACAAACATCAGTTCTTGGAGGTCCGCGCGCATTTCATGGATCGGCCTTGGCCCCCCTGGCCGCGGCGTTTGCGGCCTCGCATCCTCAGATTTCGAAGCTGAACAACAAATCGAAACATACTGTATCGGAGTTCGCGCGGGTTTCATTTGTTGGATCGTCGTTGGACCCGCCTCCCTGGCCCGCGTAGGGCGCCAGGGGGGCCGCGGGAGGCGCCGCCGATGGTGCCCCACGCCGGTACAAGAGATCTGTGTGGACCTCAGGGAATGATGTTCACGTATGCCATTTGTTTTTCTTTTCAGTTTGTTTGACGATTGACTTCAGGGTGCTGTTGATTGATTTGCATTTGCCTCTGTATTGCCTTTAGCATGCCGTCTGCTCGTGTATAGCTACCTGTCCTTCTTGCACGCGTTGCCCTTTTCGTATTCCCTCAACTTCATCTCGTGGCCCATCAGGAGTCAGCCGCTTCCTCGTGTCGCGCCAGTGTATTCATGGACATGGGAGGTCGCAGGCGCCAAGAATAGCAGGCGGGGTTCCTTCCTCCCACCCCTGCGAGTTGGCCGCGGCGGACCCAGACAAAGGCAAGGACAGGAACAAGGACACGACGATGGCCGGCCAGAGGAACTCGAAGGAGAGTGTCAGCCAGAAGGAGCTGAGGTCCCCCGCAGAGTGGTCAGTATGCGTCATGCCTGGTTGCGGTTTCGTTGCAGAAGAGCCCGCATGCATAGCCATTTGAGCGTCTGGAGCGACTGGGCGTCGTGCTTGAGTCCCTGGACCTCAAATTTCGTTTGAGTAGCATGTGCTCGGCTTTGCGAGCCCGTGCTTTGCATGCCCCTGTGGGGACGAGTGGAGAGCCTGCTCGGGGTTGCATTACAGTCGGGGCTCTGAACAAGAAACCCTTTTCGTTGGGGAGGGGCTCCGTGCTCCTTAATTGTTTCGCAGCTTGCCTTAGATTGTCCTTAGGTTCTCGATGGGGAATCGAAGTCTAACTTATGGTACAAAAACGGGGGTTCGTTCCTTATTTAGGGTTCCTTAGGTCAACGCCCCGACTGTATCGCTTGCTCTTCCGGTTCAGCCAAGATTGTACATGAATGTTCTTTCATAGTCATCCCAGTCGCTTCGGAATAGGTCCTTGGTCTGCGCGCGGCGACTGGGCGGGCACGGCTTCTGGCTGTCTCCTTCAGCATGTTTTAGATTTGGCGCCTTCGTTGTTGAATGACAAAGTTTGTGCATGAGCTGGCGGCATTGTATCATTCGATCGCGTGCGATTTGAAGTTCATGCTTGCATCGCGGTCACCCTCGCCCGACGACCGTGCACACGATTCACCGGGGCGGAGTCGTAGTTTCGACTGAGCTCCACAAGTAGCGGCGGCAGCGAGATGACTCGCGGGCATAGGAGGAACCTTCCTTCACCAACCCGTTGCGGCATTTGGAGTTGGTTGCCAGACCACACGTTCGGGACCACGGCCCAACATGGCGCGCACGGCCAAGAGTGCCAATCGTGCAGCCTCGGTGTTTTGCATATGCAATTTGGCAGCTGCAGGGGCGACTGGGCTCTCCTCTGGAGGTCCGCAGCGCTTCCCAAGAGAGAGGACGAACACGACCCAAGACGACGCACAGTGCGCGCCGAGACGTCCCAGGGACGCCCCTACAGGGCCTCAGTTTTTATTCAGATGGCCCAAGAAACCCCCAAGACAGCCCGAGGGGCTGGCAGACAATCCCGAAGAGATCGTATCGGGCAGAGCTAGGACCAGGATAAGTCATTTCAGAGCCACCCTGAACTCTCGGAGAGGGTTCCAGAGCGCAAGAGCAAGGACCAGAACCGCAGGGCCTCATACATCTCCGATTTATCCCTGTCCAATTCTGTACCAGTCTCGGGTCTTGGCTCCGTCTGATTCTCCGGCCGTCCAAGACGTGACAGAGTGGCCCTGGTGCGCTTCGAAGGCAAGGCCAGACCCGTGAAGAAGCCGCCTGACGTCCCACGATCTTCCCGGCTTGCAACACCCGCGGCGGAACGTGCAGCTCGAGCACTCGAGCAGCTCCGGATGCGGCTGACCAGCAGCGGTTCCTGATGGTCCTATAGGGCCATGCAACCAGCGCAGAATCATGGCTTGCACCAGTTCCGGCTGCGCCGTTACGCATCTCCGCCCACCGTTTTCGGGGAAGCTGAACGGCAGCCATCTGTTGCGACACAGCCGATCCGGTCCCAAGAAACGCCCAGCATGTGCTCAGGTCGGGACGACCGAAATGTGTACGGAAAGAATGGGTACAATGCCCAACAAGAGTTCTTGATCATTTTGGACAGGACTCGCTGTCCGCGCCGGCGCGGCCTGTGTCCATTTGAGACAGGAGGCCGCCTGTCCAACAGCGGCCTCTGTCGGTTTGAGACAACATTTGTTGTGTTCGGCATGGTGATCATTTTTTCCGTACCCATTTCGGGCGTCCACAGGGGCGAAGGACTTGGCATCGCTCGGACGTGTGCATTGTTTCTCGGCGAGAACCATCGAGGACCATCCTGGACCATCGAGCAAACAAAACACGCACGAAATCGAAAAAGCGACGGCAAGAGGAAGGACAATGTCACACGCTGGGCTGAAAAAGCCGCCCCTGGCAGCCAGTCCCCATGGCCGGCCTCGGCCCCCCCAGCGGTGATGGCCAGCGCGCGGCGTTCGAGAGCCGGCGCGGGTCGCACGTCGTCACCGCTGGGAGGTCCGGGCCGTTCTTGGACAGGACGCCAGGCGCCGCTTCCTTAGTGTTGCAAGCCATATCATACAAGCTATGTTGTCTGAGCTGTGGAAGTGAACGCTATGCGGTGTCACCCCTGTGGTGTACTCGTACACACCGTGTAATTCATGTAGTGTGAGCTGAAGGTGAAAACCAGGTGATGCAAGCTACCTGGTGTAAGGCATGCCGTTAAAGCTATGCGGTGCAAGCTAGGTGGTGAAAGTTTTGACGTGAAAGTTGCGTCGTGTAAGATGCGGTTGTGGAGGACGATCAATGGAGAAGAAGCATGTTGCCAAATACTCTCCAGATGTATACAAAAATGTGCTAAACATGTTTTAAACATTAAAAGACATGATTAAAAACATGTCTAGACAATTTTTCCGACATATGGAGCACATTTTAAATTCAATGCGTGGCATCCACAAGGCGCGGGGCGGCAACGTGGCGGCACAATGTTTGGCGGACCTGCCCAGCGCACGGTGCGCCCGCGAGCGCCCACGAGGTGGCACGGGGCCGAAACGCGGAAGATCCTCGGCGGATCCGTCCGATCACTCAAGGAACAGACTGCGCTTGATTCTCACTGGGCCATCGATTGCATTCCGTGGGTGCGCCAGAGGAATGATATACGGTGTCTTTGTCTTTGTGTGTGTGTTGTATTTCTCCCTCCTCCTACATGCCGGCCAATTCGCTTTGTAGTGCCCCTCCGCCGCTGCCACGCTGGAGCGGATTGCCCCGCCTGGTTGCCGA